TAAATCACCTCCCTTCTTCCCTCAGTCTAGGCAAACCTTGCTCCAGTCTCAGTTGCAAGTCTAGTTGAAGTCTTGGTCACCCTCCTTTTCCTTCCCTGACTGCAGTTTCCCACAAGAGCACTTTCCCTTTTGGCCCCTGTGAAATCATGTGCCAATATGTCTTTTCCCAGATTGTATAGAAGTGTAGAAGTATACAAGGAACTATTTTATTTATTTTTTAGAAAAATATAGAAAAAAGGTATAGAAGGAACTATTTTATTTTTAGAAGGCAGAATTTGTTCTGTGTTATGTAAATATTCACCATTATTCATTTATATGGTACATCATGCCTAATATTGGGTAAATATTTGCCACTTAATTTTCTAGTAGAAAAAGCAGAAACCTAAACTTCCCCTTTTCTGGAAGGGAATATTCTTTTGATATTTAGGGTTCTCTTACAGGAATGTGAATTTTGAGAATGCAAAATGATTTGAAGACTAGAAGTGTTTTTCGTTTTTTTTTTGCTTCTTTTTTTTTTTTTTGGTGCTGGGAATTGAACCCAGGGCCTCCCACATGCTAAGCATGTGCTCTATCACTGAATCACACCCCAGCCCTAAAGACTGGAGATGTTTTAGTCTATGCTTTTATAACCAGCAGGCCAAGAAAGATAACACAAATTTAGGATATATTGTAGGTGGGAGAGCTTCAGAGAACAGTTACTAATGGGAAGTTTGAGATTGTTCAGTGGGACTATGGTTTGCCTAAAGTCTTCCTGTAGGTCCAGGGCCACCACTAAACACCCATGTTCCTGCATGCACACCGAGGCCCACAGCCATGCTCTGTTTTGACTGAATTCTTTTGTTCTTGGGAGATAGGATAGTTTACAGGGCTGAGAGTTATTTGTTGGTTTCCAGATGAAATTCTAAATTCTAGCATACCCTATCAGTCTCTTATGCAATATTTACACATATTTAAATACTTACACTATTGACATAGTATGAGTTTGCTTTTTGCTGTTGGGAAGTGCACTGGGTCCAGTGCATCTGTCTTCCATCCAGTGGCCCAGCATTCCAGACTTCTTCCATCATGAGACACCCCCATGTCAGCATGTGCTTTTACCACTACTGCAGCAGGATTGGGAACCTGGTAAATTGTGCCTTGACTCTTCAGTGTTTCTGCTGGAATAGGCGCATTACTAATGTTACAGAGAAGAGAAATGTAATCCTCCATAATGGGGAAGGGAATTGGAAATATTGGAGAGCATTGGTTATGTCCACCACGTCAATTTTTGGCTCAAAGAACGGGCAGTAGTGGCTTCAAATCCTTAAGAGTAGGTCTCCCTTTAGAAATACTCATTGCCTTAAACATGGCTCAATGTCTGTAAAACACTTCTGTAGTGGAACCTTTCCTGGGTCTTTGTCTTAGTTAGGGACCTATCTCCATGCCCCACTGGTATATGCAATTACTGTACCCTGGCTCATCATAGATAACAGCAAATGGTTGAACACCCCAATCCACAGTATTCTTTCAAGGGTTTCTTGAAATAGCTAGCTAAAGTGTTCATGACAAATATGTCTCAACCAAAAAGCCAGACCACATATATAAAAAAGAATAGCAGTTATCTCTCATTATCCATAGGGGATTGGTTCTAGGACCTAGGGGATTACAAAATCTATAGATCTCAAGTCCCTCATCTAAAATGGGATAGTATTTGCATATAACCTATCCATATCCTCCAACATACTTAAAATCACCTCTAAATTATTTAAAATACCTACATCAATGTAAATGGCCACTGAAATAGTTGTTATTTGCTTTTTGCTGTTGGGAAGAGCACTCAGAGTCTAGTGCATCTGTCCCGCATGTGGTGACCCAGATTCCTAGGCTTCTTTATTCATGAGACAACCCTAAGTCAGCATGTGCTTCTACCATTGCTGTAGCAGGGTTGGGAATCTGGTAAATTGTGCCTTGACTTTTTAGTATTTCTGCTAGAATAGACACATACCTAACCTTACATAAAAGGGAAATGTAATCCTTTGTAATGGGGTGGAGGATTGGAAATATTGGAGAGCATTGGAAATATCTACAATATCAACTTTTGGCTCAAAGAATGGGGTGGGGGGGAGTAGTGGTTTCATATTGTGAACTTTTTCCACTTTCAGGTTTTGTTGAGAGTCCCAGCAAGAATATAATGTTGAAGTAAATTGAATATTACAGCAAACCAGATAGAACTGAAAATTTGGGGAAAGAGGTTACCATATTAAAGCAGAAAATGCTTGCCTTTCCTATGTCTTGATTTCAAATACTATAACACAAACTTTGGACCCTGAACAGACTTTAAACAGAAGAAAATTCCATAAGGCTAATCACTTCCTTAGATCTGAGCATCTTTTTGTCTTTTGAAAGGACATCAGCCTTTGAAGAACATCATTGGTAGATTGGAGAGTCCTTTAACAAAGTTGATTTATTTGCTGTTTGAGGGTTCTTTCCATATGCACATGTGGCAGGGAGCAAAAGGTACTGAGTCTCCATCACTAATTATTGTGATACACTGGGATTCCCATGATCAACTTCAGATGTTAGTTGAATTGTATCCACAGATCATTATCTGGGATCCTACATTTTTTAGAGTCTCTGGAAGGTAAAGCAATGAGGGAAAACTGCTGTCACCATCACTGATCAAAAGCACATTGTTAATCTTAGAACTCAAAATGACTTATATTTTTATAGGAACAAGAAAGCTACCTTTCTATCGTTTGCCTTCTCTCACCCTCCCTTGCCTAACAGTACACTTTAAAATTTGAAAGTTGTGCAGCAAGGTGAAATAAGTTTTCACTTGAAAAATCCTTTTAACTCAGGGTACCATAAAAATCCATACACTTTTAGTATCACTTTAAGGTATTTTTACAAGATCCAAAACAAGCCATATACATGGGTCTTGAGCAGTGAAGAATATCTTTAGTGAAACATTTTCCTGACCCCACCCAGATATTAGTTTTTAATTACTCAAAAATATTCAACAGCAAAACTATGTGGAGCAAGCATTTAAAACACTCTTGCATGAAAACTTCAACAGTTGAAGCTAACTGTATTACCAATAAATAATACCCACCCTGAAAGGGGTGAGGAGGTAAAGAATTAACCTAAATAATTTTGGAAAATAGCATCATACTGGATTCCTTTAAGCTAAGGACAAAAAGAATTATTACGCTCTAATTTAGTGAACATGTTTCTCATGGGGGTAGGTTAGCAATTCTGAAAGTACTTTATAAAGTGTAGTAGAAGTAAATGAACACGTAAATATAGCATCAGTGATAAGAGTAAAGTTTCTTATTGCTCAAGAATTAAGTTACTAAGGAGAAATGACTAAAATGTGAACATCTGGGATTGGATTGGAATCAGGGGCACCAGAATAAACTCTTGGTTTGTAATATGTATACATACAGGTAGAGAAATGTGGATGTGTGGACTAGTGTACATCTCTATTTATTAGCTCTGTCTGCTTTGAAAGCCTCCAAGCAACGGAACTGTAGCTACCATGAGCACATTTGGTACCTGCATCTTAGCTTCTAATCACCACTGAAAACTTGGGCAAGTAGTTAGTTCCAGTGCTGGGGAAGGGGAAATACAAAATAAGCCTTGAGCATCTTGTAGAGTCAGCAACTAAGAAAGTACTTAAAGATAGGCCTTGTCAGAACATAGGAGCCAACCTAGACAGACAAAGCTAGAACCGCTTCAGCAACAAAATAAATAATCATAGTGTGTCAGTCAGTTTTTTGCCACTGTAACCAAAAATGAAAAATGAATCACTTAGAGGAAGAAAAATTTATTTTGGTTCATGTTTTTTAGAGATTTCAATCCATGGTCAGCTGACTCCATTTCTTTGGGCCTGAAGTAAAGTAGAACATGGTAGGAGGGAGTGGCAGAGGACAGCTGCTCAGCTCACGGCAGCTGGGAAGCAGAGAGAGACAGGGAGGAAGAGGCCAAGGAGAAGATGTATTCCCCAAAGGCATACCCCCAGTGATCATTTCCTCCAACCATACCCCACCTGCATACTATTTCCACCTCTTCCTAGAAGTCCATTAATATGATTAATCTACCAAATGGATTAATCCACTGATGAGGTTAGAGCCCTCATGATCCAATCATTTCCTAAAAGCCTCATCTCTGAATATTGCTGGCTTAGGGACTGTGCCTTGAAGTACCTGAGCTTTTTGGGGACATCCCAGATCTAGACCTTGATAACACTGAATTTTAACCATTAGAATAGAATAAATACCCATAAATCCATTCTGTTCTACATAAAAGTTGAGTAAATACATGAGAATGAAGGGATACTCTTTATTACAGAAAAGTTACAGTTTATGAACATAGAAAGAAAAAAGACAAAGTAGAAAAATCACCATGAAGCAAATACTACAGTAGTAATTCTGATAAACAAAAGTACTGGTGGGTGCAAATATTAGTAGACCAAATCTGCAGCGAAGCAGTGAATTTCCACAATCTCGAAGCATCTTCCCCAGTAGAGCTATTAATTATAAATAAAAAGATAGTTCAGTAGTAGAGAAACCCTGCAGACACCACCTTATCCAAATAATCAAGATACACACTAATGGTGATAAGACATCATATCATAACCCTCTGGATATTACACACTGAGCAGGGCACAGTGTCATTTCACTGTCTGGAAAGATGAGGAGAGACTGAGAAGTCACTACCCACTGGAGGAGACTCAGGAGAATAAATGATTAAATGTAAGGTGGGAAACTGGAAAGGATCCAAATCAAAAAAGTACTTAGTGAAACAACGAATAAAAGTAAATAAGACCTGCAGTTTTGTTATTACGACTTCTGATAATTGTATCATGGTTACTACTGTCAATATTAGTGGAAGGTGGGTGAGGAGTACCTGCTAAATTATTCAAAATAATAGTTCAAATTATTCATTGATAAGTAAAATATATGAGCATTTCAATAAAAAAATAAACTGTTCTTTGGTTCTTTCTATTGTACCTTCCATAGCAGAGAGACTTTCTAACAGTTGGCTGGATGTTCGTCATATTGAAAAATACGTAGACCAAGGTAAAAGTGGAACAAGAGAATTGCTGTGGTCCTGGGCACAGAAAAACAAGACCATCGGTGACCTTTTACAAATTCTTCAGGAGATGGGGCATCATCGAGTGATACATTTAATTACAAATTACGGTAACCACTTTCTTATAATATGGCTCTCAGTCAATCCTATAGGAATTTTAAATTGTAAATAGAAATGTTGTGTTTTACACACGACATCATGCTGTATGTATGTCAGCAATTCCTTACTTGTCACTTTTGTCTTCAGGGGAACTTGAAGCTTTGTATTTGTGTGTGACACTTTTTTTTTATTGCATTGCTTATATAACACATTACTTTTTGAGGTTTTAGAGATTTTTTTTTAAACTTTTACTTACAAACTGCAGGTTTGCAATGTTTTATTTCTATCAGCTAATAGAATCAGCTTTCTTTCCCAAACTCAGAGACTCCTTGAATCATAAGTATAATCAGAATTGCAATGTTTAAGTAAAGTATGAGTAATGCTATCCTTTGTTTTGTTATAAGGAATATATTAAGTGTCTCTCTCTCCCATATTTTAGTGCAAATAATACCTGCAGAATAAATTTGGAATTTGTCTTTTATATTCACTGCTGTTTTTATGTCATAGCTTTTAACTCTGCCTCACTTATCTGTCATTCACTCTATAATTCTTCCCTGTGTGTCCTATTTGTCATGCCTTACAGTCAGAAAAATCCAATAAATAATGCTCATGAAGTTTTCTCCATTTATTCTTTGTCAGTAAATAGTCTCTTAACATCATTTGTTCTGTTTCTTCCACTTGAATTTATTCACTTCAACAATGATTGTGATTGATCTTGGGCCTTTGCATTATAGATTCAAGACTTGTGGGTCCAAAGCATTTGAATCAACATCTTCATTCTTTGACTCATTTCATCCAGGCATATTTTCAGTTTTATATAATAGTACACAGGTTCTTTGGTCACATACTTAATGTGCATGAGCCTGTCCCTTCTTACACAGAGAAGATTTACACACACAAAGAAGAAATCCTGAGAGATCTGTACCAGAAAACTATTGCTTCAGCATGACTTTTATTTAGTAGATATTCATTCCTGGGATATTGGTTCTTAGTAAGCTTCTGCCATGATATTACCTAACTTGGCTAATTCCTTTTATTTTTTCTACACTATTTCTTCACGTGGTTTAGTAGAGCGTAATGCTTTACTCAACGCTGAGCAAGTGGAATGCAGTAAGTCCCTGGGAACTGTAAATACCGTGCCTTTCATTATCTTGGCCTTTTCCAACCACACAAACCACCACATGGTTTGCTGTTCACAGGCTCAACCTAGCACAATTTAATGGGACACCCAGATTTGTTTTATAATTCTGTTTTCTGGAATAGATTTCAGAGTATGTTTTCATTCTCTATGTTGTTTATTTATGCAGCAGAGAATGATTTGGACTATCCAAAGACAAACATTCCACATTCTTGGGTGACTCCAAGTCTGCTACACATACAAAGTTGATTTCATTTTTTTAAAATGTGAGATTAGTAGACTATCGTGACAATTATTTATTGCTCTACTACAAGAAAATAGGTAAGTTTGAGATAAAGAAAAAAGATAGCACTTCACTCTGAGTCTTTTAACAAAGAAAATATAGTATATATGTCATATAAATATAACATAATATATAATATAACAAAGAAAATGTAATTTATTGAATTGATGCTTTGAATTAAATCATAATATGGAGAAAGTTAATTGGACAGCCTGCTAAGTGGACAGTGATGATTCATTGGGAGCATGTCTGCTGAAAATATGTGTCCTGTGGCAGCTACTAGAGGTTGGAGTTCCTAATGGAAAATACATGAAAAGATTTAGTCTTTCAATGCTGCCAGCATGGACAGATATATCAATTATCCCAATAATGCCTACTTTTCTTTAGGGTATGTTCTATTTGGTGGGATTTTTGTTGTTGTTGTTGTTGTTGTTTATTTAGTTTTATTTTTAGAGTAATGTTTGACCTTTTTGTCTTCTACCCTCCAGGATCACTTTGTATGTTTGGATTGTTTTCTGAGTCTTACTGAGAAGTTTCCTCCCTGTTCCTTCAGTTCAGGTTGCTGCCATTAGATGGTTTCTTTGCATCCACATACATTTCCTTAGATCTCAAGACATAACCAAAAATTTCAAGGAATTAGAATCTTTACTTATTAGATTTCTGTCCATACATACATGACATATTTTGCATTTGCATTTCAATGATTGAAAGTTGTTTTCCAGTTTTGACATGAAATCCACAGCTTTCTACCGATTTCTTAGAAGAACCATTTTGAACCTTTGATTTTATGACAATTAAGTATTATATTTCTTTAAAAAAAGTGGGGGGCAATGACTTTTAGTGCCCTTACAGCCTCCATACTTCAAATGCTGTTCTACTTGAAGATATTTGTCCTTCCTCCTTCTTTTCCTTACTTTTTTTTTTGGTCTAGTTGCCCTGGCTAGAATCTTCAGTGTAATATTGAATAGAGGGCTGGGGCTATAGCTCAGTGGTAGAGCGCCTGCCTCACACGTGGGTTTGATTCTTAGCACCACATAAAAATAAATAAATAAAGATATTGTGTCCATCTACAACTAAAAAAAAAATTTTAAAAAATATTGAATAGAAGTTGCAAAACTGGACATTATTCCTGTCTTGATCCAGATCTTAAGGGAAAAATATCCAGTCTTTTACTATTGAGTATAATGTTAACTGTGGACTTTTCATAGATGTCCTATATCAAATTGAGGAAATTCCGTTCTATTCCTAGGGATTTTTTTTTTTTTTAATCATGACAGGGTACTGGATTTTATCAAATGCTTTTTCACGGTCTGTTGAGGATGAACATGTGGATTTTTTCCTTTATTCTGTTAACGTGGTGTATTACATTGATTAATTTTCAGATGTTAAGCAAATCTTAGACTCCTGGGATAAATCCCACTTGGTTAAAATATGTATTCCTTATGTGTTTCTGGATTTGTTTTGATAGTGTTTTGTTGAGGACTTTTGCATTTATATCCAGAAGGGATCTTAGACTGCACTTTTCCTGTGTCTTCAAGTAACATTGGTATTAAAATAATACTGACTTTATTGAATGATTTGGGAGTTGGTCTATCTTGTATTTTTAAAGAATTTGTGTAAAACTCAAATGTGTGGTAGAATTAACTGGTGAAGTCATCTGAGCCTGGGCTTTTCTTTGTGGAACTTTTAAAATACTAAGTTGATCTCTTTATCTACTACAGAGACAGATTGTTTATTCCTTCTTGAGTTAGTTTCAGTAGTTCTTGTCTTTTTAGGAATCTGTACATTTAAGTTATCTGATTTTTTGGCATAAGTGTTATTTGTTCATAGTATTCCTTATAATTTTTGTTATTTCAGTAACATCAGTAGTGATATCTCCTCTCTTGTTCTTGATTTTAGTAATTTGAGTATCCTCTCTTTTTTTCCTGTCAGTCTAGCGAAAGAATAGTCAATTTTGCAGATCTTTTCAAAGAACCAATTTTGGTTTCATTGATTTTTCTCTTTTAAAAATTCTCTTATTTTATTGATTTCCACTCTGATCTTAATTATTTCATTCCTCTGCTTGCATCTGTTTAGGTTTCTGTACCTTTTCTAGTTCCTCACTGTGAAATTTAGGCTATTGATTTAAGATATTTCTTCTTTTTTAAGGTAGGCATTTGTAGCTATAAGTTTTGGTATATTGTGTTTTCATTTTCATTTGATGTATTTTATAATTTACTTGTGATTTCTTTTTAGACTCATTGGTTACTTATGAGTTTATTGTTCAATTTCCATGTGTTTGTGAATGTCCTAAATTTTTCTTCTATTTCTTCTACTTCAGTTCCCTTGTGGTCAGCAAATGTACTTCATATGATTTCATAACTTCCAGATGTCTCAAGGACACTACATTTGTCCAATATGTGGTTTGTTCTGGAGAATGTTCAGTGTGCATTAGAGGAGTATGTGTGTATTCTATTTTTGGAAAGAATGTTCTATAGAACTCAATTAGGTCTAGTTGATTTATAGTGTAGCTCAAGGAGATGTGTTATTAATTGACTATGTTTTGGTGCTGGTTTTATAAGCAAAATAATTTTAAAAACACTAGAACACAAGCTAAGCAAAACTAGAAGGTAAAATAAAAATTGTTCAAAGTCTGAATCACAATGTCAGAAATGACAGGAAATTCTGTATTCGGGAAGGGGTAGTGAGTGTTGATGTTTGATAATACACACACACACACACAATCAACATCATCACAACCAGCTCTACTTTATGACACAAAATAGTACAGAAGATAAAAAAACCCAGGAAGATGTAATCTCATAACTGTAAAAATCTAAAATATATGTGCAAAAAGCTGGTAACAATTCTACATTTTTTCCTTTCAATTTTCTACTTTGCACTTTAATATTTTATTATGTCTACCAATGATTTTAAGTAGCTATTCATGTTTTAAGTGAAGAAAGTTAGTTTGTATAATATTTGTTCATTAGAAAGCTATTTTACATTTGTAAATTTACAACCATTACAGTTGAATGAAACTGAACTTTAAAAATGAACATTACTAGCAAAATATTTATTTTCACAGTCTCAGAAAGGGGAACAAAGATCACATTTGGGACCTAAAATTGTTTTGTATCTGGTTCCCTTTATTTCTCTTTCAGGAGCAGGATTGAATTCTTTAGAGCAGAGTCATCAGGAGCATGGATTTCCAAACATATCCAAGGTAGATCACGTGTGCTTAGAAAATGATCCTTGAACTCCATTGTCCATTGAGCAGAAGGAATGAAATTCTCTGGCAGAAAGATGCTGGCTATGCAGGCACTTAACTAAGGCACAGAAATGCCTTAATTCTTTCATTATCCTTTATTGAATTGAAGACACAAGAAATTAGAGATTTATAAATATTTGCAGAATAAGAGCTTTCACCTATCTGTGGTCTGTCAGAGTTGAGATTTAGAACTACGAGTTCTTCATTTGTCTTAACTTTTAACTTTCCTTTTCTAGTTGGTATTTTGTATGTTGCTTTGAGTTTTTATTAGAGCAAATAAGCAGTACTCATTTCTGTAGCATTAGAAGTCATTTAAATAGACTATAACTGACTATGGCATTGATTCTTGAGTTTTTACAGTCAATGTGGAAACTTTAAAAATGTATGGCAATGAATGCTATTGAATAAAGTAAAAATAACTTTGCTTTTATTAGCTTTTTAAAAGTTATATTCCACTCTGTTGCACTGTATAGTTTCCCAGGGAGCTTTGCATTTCTGTTGAGGCTCTGTTTTTTCTAGACTCATGAAATGGAATTACTCTGGTGTGCATTCTTTCTTTTAGGGAAAAGCCAATGTCACAGTGGATGATGCCCTTATACCTGAACATAATGAAAAAGGTAAAAAAACAAAACAAAACAACAATAACAAAACACACACACACACAAATAAACAACAACTTTGCTTTATAAAAATCTTCTAAACTCATTTATGTAAAAGGATGATTTTATATTCAGATTCAGTATAAAACTTTCATAGATATAAAAGTAGTTTCAATTTTGATTGACAAAATTCTCATTGACAAAGTTCTAATCAATGACATTTATTTTAAGAATCCATTTGCTAATGAACAGCATAATTGTGGTCTTTCTTTGTTAGTAAAAATTGCCATTTTTAAGTGCCATAATAAAACACTTAAAAACTTAAGATGAGTTTTACACTGCTTTAGAAATTTTCATAGCAATTGCAAAGATCTTTTGAGGTGATTATAAAGTAATGTTGAAGGTCAGTGTGAAGATCCAGTTATTTTCTGTATTAACTCTCCTATTTTTTTAGTAGGGAGAATAATTTAGTCCCACCTGGGAAGACTACTTAAGCCTGCCTTGCCTGGATCTGATGCTTTTCTGGTTTGAAAGAAAATTAGAATAGTTAAATAAGATTTTAGTTCTTTAATAATAAGCTCTAAATCACCTTTAAATATCTTAGGGAGTATTTTGTAGTAACTGTGGAAATATAGCCAAGATTGGGCGTTGAAAGATTTAGCCAACCTTTCTTTTTTTTTCCTTTTGATTACTTTTAAATGTTTGTTCCCAATCTCTCCTTTGGGTGATTTTTCAAAAAGCTGAAGCATGGGGAGAGTTGAGAAGTGTTAAGGAGTGATATCGGCCAAATTAAATTGTTATATTATTATATGCACATATCAACATGTAACAATAAATGCCATTGTTATGTATAACTGTGATCCACTAATAAAAAATAAAAACAAACAAAAAACCAAAAACAGTTGAAGCATCTTTCTGATTTGTTCTGAGAAATAAGTCAGGCATTTAGGGGCTCATGAAAAGTATCTCTATCAGTCATGTTTCAAAATATTGTTTAGTCATATGAAGAGTCCCATTTCCAGAGTTTTTTTTTTTTTGTTCCAGGAATTGAACTCAGGGGCACTAGACCACTGAGCCACATCTCTAGCCCTAGTTTGTGTTTTATTTAGAGACAGGGTCTCACTGAGTTGCTTAGCGCCTCACCATTGCTGAGGCTGGCTTTGAACTTGCGACTCTCCTATCTCAGCCTCCTAAACAGCTGGGATTACAAGTATGTGCCACTGCATCAGCTCATTTCCAGTTTTTTTTTTTTAAATAGATTTTAGGTTCATAATGGCTCTACACATTGACCTAAGAATAAGGAAACAGAATCTTGGAAAAATTTCCCCAACTAAACTCTTTGGCAGATTTCTTTGGAGAGTTGAAAAAACCACAATACTAGTGTTCAGATACCTAAAATGCCATTTGCTTTTTGGAATGGTGAGATCCAGACCCAAGTTAATGTAGGCTATAGTTTGAGTTCTTGGGCCTTCTTCTATTGGCCTTCCCCTTGGCTCTTACATGTTTCCAATATGGCAACACTGACTTTCAGAAAAGGTGGCTTATCTTCTCCCTTTCTACTCTCCTTCCTAAGGAATATTGCTTGAATCCTCCATCAGCTTTCAGAACATCATAGACGGAACCAAACATTTCCACAAAGACTTCCTGATTGGAGAAGGGGATATGTTTGAGGTATACAGAGTGGAGATTCAAAATCGAGCATACGCTGTTAAATTATTTAAACAGGTATGGCAAGAATTACTATCACAGAATATTGATTACATGTATTTTCTCATAATTCATATTAAAATGTGTCATTTTTCATCAACAGTAAAGAAGGTGTATTTGAACATAAAAATAAGATTTATGAGCTCAGGTGACTGGAGAAATGACTGAGAAATGAATGCCTGTCTTTTGGGAATGTGGACATTAAATCCTTCAGATCCTCAGATATATTGCATGAGAAAAACTTTTCTGAAAAGCCTTGTAGGGCCTCTGGGACTTTGTTCAAGAGGATCAGGTTGTGCCAGTTTGCTTAGGGTGAGCGGCATGCTCTTCAGGCAGCTTTAGTGCCACACGTGAGCATTCAGTGCGACTTTATAAATTGTCTTCTTTTACAGTTCAGGAGGGTGGGAAAGAAGCGGCTTTAAATAGGAGCTACAAACCAATGATCAGAGCAGTTTAGAAGACAGTTGATTGACTGTAACAGCCAGTAAAGCAGAGAGGGAATTGGCAAATCAAACTTGTGCGTCAGTTAGCGACAACTACCTAGGCAGACACTCTAAAGAGCTGACCTTCATTCTCTTCACTGTTGGTCAAGCATCAGGAAACATTTACTAAACTCCATCTTGGCCTGGAAATCTGAGTGTGTAGAGGTGAATAAGGCTTACTAGAATTCTCAAGGTGCTCACAGTATTTGGGGGGGAAATATCAAGTCAATAAAAGAGTGAAACTGATCAGAAAGAAGTACTTATTTAACAGGGATTTGTACAAAAGATTCTGGGAGCACATAAAAGGTTGCATTTCTTGCCACCCAAAGGAGGGGTGCATCTGGTACCCAGCAGATGATGGGGCCCAGGTGACCACTCAATAAACATTTCTTTAAAATAAATGGAGGGCTGGGAATATAGGTCAGTTGGTAGAGTGCTTGCCTAGCATGCACAAGGCCCTGGGTCAATCCCCAGCACCTCATACACACACACGCACACACAAACACACAAAATTATATAAATATATATATATGTAAAAGTGGGTGAAAGGCAATGCTCTTTCAGTTGGATTTTGAGAATGAGTGGAATTTTAGCAAACAGTAAGGAGGGGAAGTATATTCTGGGTGGAATATAGCAGATGCAGAGGTCTAGGGGTACATGTCTGCAAGCATGTATACCTTACATGTGAATAACAATTCATTTGGTGGCATGGAGTGTGCGGGTGGCAAGAAAGTGGCAAGAAATGATATGAAAATAGGTGAAGCACATGTGTCACAGGAAAGCAGGGAGTTTTAGCTCCCTGCTAAAACTCCAAAACTCGGTTCTTGTGTTCTAATGAAAGAAAATTTAAAGTCAGACACCAAAAGCCATGCAAGAGAACTTTATTATAAGTGAAAGTAGAGTAAAAGCAAAGTGAGGCTTAGGCAGACAGCACTGGAGAAAGAGAGAGAGAGAGAGAGAGAGAGAGAGAGAGAGAGAGAGAGAGAGAGAGAGAGAGAACCATCTCTGAGCAGAGAATGACAAAAGAGACAACACTATCTCCAGATTTATTACTGTTTGATGTTACCAGGAGAATTGGGCACCACCTTCTGTATTCTTTGCCAGTCAGGGGTTCAATTCCTCCTTCACATCAGGCAGTGGAGTTTTTGACCTTAGTTGGTCCTTTCCGGAGCTGTCATGGTGGCCATCCTATTTAGGGAGGCTTCATCTACGAGTCAGTCCCATGTTAACGTGGGCACTGGGGTCAATAGTTGGTCAAAAGTTACGTTAGTGCATCTGAGCTTCTAAAGGAATCTTCCTTCCTAGACAAATGGAGACACCTATAGCCATAATTCCTAGCTTCACATGAACACCAACGAACACTGTCAAGAGTTAGTCCCATTAATCCTTTTCTTTTGATGTATTTTCCCATTGGCTCCTTGGCTTTGTTTATTTTTTTTACAAATTAACTATCACCGTTTGCTTTCCTGTCTACTTTGAAAGTAGTTTAAAGAAGACCCTAAGGTAATTTAAAGAACATCTATGGCCTTGCCATGCACTTCACTGCTCATTGCTAGCTGCTTTTTAACACATGGATTTTTCAGTAGAAGAGTGAAAGACTTAGATTTGTGTTTTGAAATATCACTTTGATTACAGGGTAGGTGATGGATTGTAAGTTAGCCTGGGACTTGGCAAAAGATGGCTATAACTAGACTGAAAGAAGAAAGACCTGGTTGAGGGATATTTTAGATGTGTAAAATAAGAGATGGACAGCACTTGAACTAGTGCTGCCAGTTTGATTTCATTTTAGAATCAACTAGGGAGCTTTTTAAAAACAAAGCCCCGTAGCAAGTGGTTAAGTCAGAATGGATGGTGGCAGGCATTAGTATGTTTTGAAAGGTCCCCAGGTGGTACAAATGTGTAGCTGGTGTTGAGAACCATTGTCATGATTAGGGCTAAGTCAATATGGAAGGTGAGAAGGTATGTGTAAGAGAAGAGGTGAAATGGATCTAGTGACTGGTAGGACTGGGAAGTGGGGGAGCTGGTGGGATCTGAAATGATTTCTGGTTTGTAGCTTATGTAACAGAGCCTTAAGAAATTACCAATCTTTTTTTTTTTTATTTCTCCACATTGCATCTTGTGCCACTAATGCTATATAGACATCTCAAAATTCCTGTAATCATGAAGAGTCTAATAAAAAAAATTCTACTGGAAAAACCATTCAACACATAAAATGTGGTTGCTCTAATTGAAGCCTGTTTATTCATGCCCATGTGTCACTGGCCCTGGCCTCATTTGTGGTTGAGCCCTAGGGCCACCTCCCCAAATGTTCTCTCTAATCTTCTCTCTGCAGCTGCCACCAAATCACACTCCTTTGGGGAGTTTCCTTTCCCTTAGTTTGACTTTAGAATAGGATGTTCTTGCCTGTAGATATTCCATTCATTCTTGTCTCCCACACAACTATTTTTCCTTCATAGCCTCTTACCGCTCTAGTGTGGTTTGGGTGTGGTTTCCGTTATTTTGTAGTATTGATTTCTTCATTTGCTTCTCCCAGTGGATAAATTGGCTTTTTTTTGAAGAACTCTTATTGGTCCATGTATCCAGGCCTTATTCCAGGGGCTTTCCATAGTAGTTGCTCAGTAAATGTTTGTTAGATGAACCGAATGAAGCCCATATGTCCTTTTCAAGAATTTAGTTGCTAAACAGTAGGAGTAAGAAGACCTAGATACTGCAAAGGACTGTACAAACTCCTGTGTCCCTGGTCCTACCCTACATTTTAAGGTAGTAAGTGGAAGTATTCTGGGACTTTTGCCCTCTACTTTTATTTCCGCCTGCCTTCTAACCTAAAGCGCAGCCAACCAACCAGCCACTCCCCACCCCCTCTCCACACACACACACACACACACACACACACACACATTCATATACACTTACCAGGAAAAATGAGAGCACTTAATGAAGCCTTGGCCACAGAACACTTTTTGAAGACATGCAGTTTTGTAACATTGGGACATTGCCTTCAAGAACCTTTCACAGAAGGCCTGAAGTAGGAATTTCATGTGCACAGTATCACCTATTAGTCATCTTACAGTGCTGATTTTGACTGAGTAGATCCAAGGAGGAGCCCAGTATTAGATTCAGTGTTTCTTAACACCTCCCAGTGTAGTTGAAGATTTTTGTGCATAAACCAAACTTGAAGCAGCAAAGTGCGAGTGCTATATTAGCAGAAACACAAAAGTGTTCATTTTTCAGATTAAGAAAACTCTGACTTTAGGGAGATTTAGTGAATGAACAGAAAGTCATAAATAGCAATCAGTAGGGATGGGCCCCAGACCAAATCTACTTGACACTCAGGATGGCTGACATAAAATTTGATAAAGTAGTTCTTAGCAGTGATTTCTTAGCCTAGTTTATTGTTTCTGATTTTACTTGGAAAATAGCTTCCAGAATTTCTGTTGAATTTCTGTTTTTATTTCTGAGGAAAGAACTCCAAAAATTCTTCCCTCTATAGTAGTTTGCAAATGAGAACCTTGAGATGGTACAACCTAGAAGCATACTTAATTTAACTCTTTCATGATAGAGTTTAGGAACCTGAGACCAAGGGACATGCAGCCACATAACATGTTTGAAGGCATCAACAACAATGTCAGGCACAAAGTAGGTGCTCACTACAAGATTATTGAATTTATTAATTTTTCAGTATTCATTTATTCACATGTCAGACTCTAGGCTAGCTTCTGAAGCTTGTTTGTAGTAAGAATTCATACTTTGACTTGATTAGTAGGCTCATCTCTTCAAAAGTGTGTAAAGGTAAATGTGAATTGATACATCCAAATGACCAAATTCATAAATATCAAATTAGTGACCACTTGCAGGATAATACAGATGACATAAATTGAAGTCTTTGTGAGATCAAGTGAGAAGTTTCTGTCAGGGGATTTTCCTTGAAGACACATATAATACTTCTGAATTTATTTAAATGTGTGAAAATATGGTTCCAAAGAGTTTGAATATAAAATTTGACAACATGATATATCACATGAAAAACTTAATTCAAGAGTAGCGGCTCTAAATCTGTGTTGGGGTTAATGGATTCTTGAGAATTTGATGAAATCTAAGGATCCTCTCCTCATAAAAAAATCTCCAAATGCATTTATAATAAAAAGCTGATCTAATTTCAGGAAAACTGTAGACTCTGGGTTAAGAGTCCCAGAAATAGAGACCCTTTTCTTAATTTTATTTTTATCTTTTCTATATAATATCTAGGAGAAAAAAATGGAATCTAAGAAACACTGGAAGAGATTTTTATCTGAGCTTGAAGTTTTACTACTGTGAGTATATTTTGTCTGGAATCCCCCCTCTTGTCTGGGGTTCATCTATGTTCATCTTTGATTCTACAGCACAGCGCATAGCGTCGTTGGCATTTAATTAACGGGGGTTGGATATTCCAACAGTCTGTAGGTTTTCGACATCTGCTTCAGTATATTCCTGAAAGTACATTTAAAAATAGACCATTTACATAATTCACTTGAACATATTTGAACAAGAAACTGTCACGAGAAAGTGGGTTAAATCGTGTGTGACTAACATGCCTGAATAGTAATTCTTCAAACATTCGAACTATATATATGGCACTCTGTTCCCCTTCCTCAGAGACATTGCAGTCTAGAAGCTGTTTCCTCAGTATAACTGTCTTCAGAAAGAGAATTTTAGACAAAGAAATCAAGGGCTTTTGATGTGCATATTATTTTCTGGGAATTCATTCGTGAATCAAGAGTCCTCAGAGACAAATTTAAATGACTTCATTGTCCTCTATATTCATATCTGCAGCTGTGCATCCTCAGTGGAGGCCCCTACCCCTGGAGAGCTCACTCATCACCCTTTATAAACAGAAAAGGCCCTTTTCAGATGTTTTCTGCATAGATATGTAAAGTGAGGGGTGGAAAGGCAGGTGGGGAGTAAGATATTGTGCTGAATTCTCTCCCTTTTATACCCAAGACCAGAAATCAAAATATTAGAGGCTAGACATTAAAACTTGATATCATTTAGTCAATAAAGAACTGGATTCAAAATTGCAATAGTAGGTTTTTACATTGAAGTTTTATTTATTTGCTTATGACAATGATATTCAGACATTTCAAAATTCCAAAAAATATAAAAGAGCAATTGAAGATAAGCTTTTCCATCACTACCGGACTGATTTTTTTTCCAAGGCAACAGTGTTATTAGTTTCTTGTGAATGAGAGATATTTTATGCACAGGCAAACACACATTGTGTTTTATTTCCCTTCTTTTACACAAAATGTAGCATTAGTACATTGTTCATTTTCATGTTCTGTGCTATACTGTTCCTCTCTCCTGTTGAGAGATTTTTTTTTCTAATCCTTTATTTAAAAATAAAGTTGCAACAGGAAAGCCTGTTCTCTTTATGCCATATCAAAAATAAAAAAAAAAATTTAAACTGTGTCAGAGAGATTTTTTCCCTGTACTTGTTTCTGGGAGCTTTATGGTTTCAGTCTTCAGTGCATTTTTAGTTGATTTTTGTGTATGATGTCTGACAAGTCCAACTTCATTGTTTTATAAGTGGTATCCAATTTTCCTAATGCCATTCATTAAAAAGACCTTTCTTTTCCCTTCGTGTATTTTTGGCATCTGTTTTAGTGAGCCATGACCAAAAGACATAATGAGAACAAATTAGAGGAGGAAAAGTTTATTTGGCGGCTCATGGTTTCAGAGGTCTCAATCCCTAGGTAGCCAGCTCCATTCCTCAGGGCTCAAGGTGAGGCGTAGTACATCATGGTAGAAGAAAGTGACGGAGGAAAGCAGCTCAGAACATGGCACCAGGAAGCAGAGAGACAGAGACTAAGCTCAGCCAAACATATACCCCAAAGGGACACCCCCAATGACCACACTACCGTCAGCCACACCCTACTTGCCTTCAGTCACTGCCCAGTCAATCCATTCAAGTGGATTAACACAATGATTAGGTAAAGGCTTTTAAAACCCAATCATTTCACCTCTGAACTTTCTTGCATTATCTCACATATGAGCTTTTGGAGGATACCATGTCTAGACCATAATAGCACCCTCGTCAAAGACTGTTTGACTATATATGTTTATAGGTTCATTTGGGGACTCTGTTGTATTCCCAAACAGTACATACTATTTTGATTGCTACAGCTTAGTAATGCAGTTTAAAGTTGGAGAGCGGATGTCTTTGGCTTTGTTTGTTCTTTCTCAAAATTGACTTTGACTGGGGTCTTTCATGGTTTCATATGAATTTTAGAATTGTTTTTTTATTTCTGTAAAAAAAGCCATTGGAATTTTGATAGGAATTACATTGAATCTGTAGATCATTTTGGGTGGTAAATGTATTTTCACAATTTTTTCCAATTCTTGTGTATTTGATATCTTTCCATTTACTGTGTCTGATTTCTTTAATCACTGTCTTACAGATTTATCACTTCCTTGGTTCAATTGATTCCTCAGTGTATTATACTTTTATGATACTATTATAAATGGGAGTTTTTATTAATTTCTGCTTCAGATAGTTTATTACTATTGTTTAGAAGCGTAACTGCCTTTTGTATATTAATTTTTATATCAGGAAAATCTGGTGAATTTGTTCATTAATTCTAACAGTTTTTTTTAGTGGACTCTTTAGGGTTTTCTATGTATAAGATCATGTCATCTGCGAACAGCTAATGTAATGTCCTCCTCTCCAATTTGTATATTTCTAATTTCTTTTTCTTGCTTTATTGCTCTAGATAGGATATCCAGGACCATGTTAAATAGAAATGACAAGAGTGGACATTCTTGGCTTGTTCCTGATCTTAGAGAAAAAGCTTTCATATTTTTACCACTGAGTATGATGTTAGCTGTGGGCTTATCCTATATGGCCTTTATTATATTGAAGTACATTCCTTTGGTACCTCATTTGTGGAGAGTTTTATTGTGAAGGGATATTGAATTTTGTTAAATGCTTTTCTATATCTATTGAAAGGATCATATGAATTTCCTCCTTCTTTTTGCTAAGGTGATGGATGATGTGTTGATTTGTACATGTTGAATCATTCTTGAATCCCAAGGTTAAACTGCACTTGGTCATGGTATATGATCCTTTTAATGTTCTATTGCATTTGGGTTGCTAGAAGTTTTGCATGTATGGTCACCAGTGATGTTGACTCTGTAATTTCCTTTTCTTGTAGGGTCCTTTGTTATTAGGATAATTAATGCTGGTCCTAGTAAGGCAAATTGGTAAATGTTTCCTCCTCTTCAATTTTTGGGAAGATTTTGATAGAATTCACCTTAAATGCTTGACAGAATTCACCTCTGAATCCCTCCTGTTCCTTTTCTTTTTCTCTTTTTTGGAAGGCTTTTGATGACTGAATCAATCTCCATCATTACTAGTCTGTTCAGATTTTCTGTTTCTTCATGATTCTGTTTTAGTACACTGTAGGTTTTTAGGATTTGATCTATTTCTTCTAAGTTATAGTTTGTTGGCACATGCTGTTCATAATAGTTTTTTATGATACTTTTTGTTTCTGTGGTATCAGTTGTAATGTCTTCTCTTTTGTTTATAAACTTATTTGAGCCTTATCTAGAGAGAGAAATCTCAGTGTAGTTTCAATTCCTTTTTCTGAGTGAGAATCACAATCCTTAAAAAATATATACCTCCTTTTTTGATATCTGATAACATCCTTTGCCCATTTAAAAAATTAGGTTATTAGTTTTTCTCTTAATGGGTTGAAGGAAGATTTTGTATGTGTGTGTGTGTGTGTATAAAATACTATATATACATATATATATGTATATATATATCATATATATATGAAAAAATTAGACTATTTTTATGATAATAGATATAAATTATTTTTACCATACTATCATTTTGTCTTTGCTTATACTACTTTTTGCCAAGTAGAAATGATTTTTATAGTAGTTGAGTTTATCCTTTTTAGTGGATTCTAAGTTTTTTTTTTTTTTTTGGTAATCTGTCTTTACTAAATGGTTATAAAATAATCCTCCCATTTTTTCCTAATACTTTTATAGTTTGATTTCTCACACTCATATATCTAATCCATTTGGTTTATCTGATGAGGTATTTTACAAATGAACTACAGCTTGTCTGTTTCTTTTGAAACAATCCTGAAGTGTTTACTGGGTTCCCAAAATAATCTTGGGAGGATTAAATTTATGTTGTTGAATATTCATGAGGTACTGTTATTATTATTCATTTTATTAATATTTATTTAGTGTTAGGAACTATTCCAAGTGCTTTATGTGTATTAATGCATTAATTCTCACAACAGTCCTATGAGTTAAATTCTATTATAGATCCCCATTTTGAAGAAGAGGAAACTCAGGAAAATCCTAGATTTTCTACGAGGTACAATTTATTTCCTAAATCATCTTTAGTCTTCCTCTTCTCAGACACTGAGATGTTACTAAGGGAAGCCTTCTCTTATACTATACAGTCTGAAATGGGCTTGGGAGAGAAGTTCATAAGTAGATGGGTAGTTTCACTAAAGTAAGTGATAATGTGAGAAAATATAGAGGAGGAAAGGATGAGAACCTGGAGGTGAGCAGCAGAATGGGTTTCTAGGAAGATGCACATCTAAGCCAAGTCCTAAAGGAGTTTTTAAGGTTTAGTATTGAGGAAACTACTTATATAGATTTACAAACTCCTTAGAATATGACTTCTGCTGCTTTTACTGCTGCTCTTTCTCCTCCTCTTCCTTCCTTAAGGGAAGGGAAAGAAGAGAATAATTTATCTTACAGTCAGTCCACAGGGAGACAAAATAACTTGCCCAAGTCTACACAGCTGGAAAAAGACCAGAGAGATTCAAGTGCAGATCAAATCTGCCACTCAAGTCTGTCTGCTCTACTACACTAGGAGCCACTTTCAGCATTTTGTCTGCAGTAGGCATTCAGGGATGCTTGCTGAGTCGATTTCAAAACTACGGACCTTCAGATCTATATAACTTACGGACTGAAAAACTTGTAGAGAAAGCACGGGTGGCCTGAGCCCTTAGACTCCATGATGTCTCCAGGTCCCATTCTTGCTGACTTCTGCAGTATCTGTATTTCTGCTTGATCAGTACTATTTAAAAATAAGAAAATGATTGTTTCTATTCTGTGGGCAAAAAAGCAGAACACCAGGCCATGACTGGGTCTGTATGATGTCTGCCGTCTGCTGCCTTTCAAAACATTTTTCTCTTTGAATTTTAAGTTGCAGGACAATCAGCCAACTAGTGGTATAGATCAACTGTTTAAGCAGCTAAATATACCTCATCAATTTCTTTTCGTTTTATAGATTTGGTCTGAATCATAATAGGTATAAGGACCTCGTATCATAGAAGTTTTTGACATAGTTAAAAATAAAAGTCTGTGTGTTTTTGTATGTGTATGTGTACACAGGTACACAGGCATGGTTCCTTTGTTGAAGTAACAGGGATAAAAAACACACAAGATATATCTGTACAAATTATATGAGAAATAAGGGAATGTAAACTCACTCAGGGTATAGAATCAAGGAAGGATGCAACAAATCTTTTGGCTACCACACTGCACAAAACCCAGTAAGTTGGCTGTTTATGCAACCTTCCAGGAGTAAGAAATCAACTGGAGGAGTCGCCTTCTCATTCCTGGGGAAGCCCATTGGTGGTGGTGGGGTGTGTGTGTGTGTGTGTGTGTGTGTGTGTGTGTGTGTGTGTGTGTATGTGTGTGTGTGTTTATAGGACTTCTGTTACTAAAGAAACAAATAATACGCCTTTATAAATAGAACCATTTTTTTTGCAGCTTAATTTATCTTAATATCCCCACCAATGCCCAGGACATAGCAAGTATTCAATAGATAATGATTGGATTAAACTGAGTTTGCAATGTGTGTGAGCTTCACATGTTTTATGTTGATAGTGGTTACCTGGGTTCCACTGTTCTTTGTAGCAATGATACATACACTCAGGGAGTAGAACTTTTATTAGTAGCCTAATCAATTAGGAAAGGAGCCGGAGAAATATATACTATGGGGATATAAAGTCTGTTATTTAAATTGAGTGATATATTTTTCAACATCGAACTTTACTCATTTTGTGGATTTTTGATAACAGTGCAAGCTTTGTGAATAGCAGGTGTTGTCTCTTTTGGTCTGTGTAACCCAGCATCTGACCTAGCAAGCTCAATAGACACTTGAATGGTCTTCTGTACTCCTATATTTGGGTGGCTTGACCTACACTTGTGTACTTAAATTAGTCAAATGAGCAATCCCAGTTGGTTTACCTTTATCTATTTACATAATAGCCATGTTTTGTTTCATGTAAATAAAAACAAATTAATATCAGTGTTGTCTATTTTTTATAAAACTTCTAAAACCTCAGATCTTAAGAAAATTTTACTTTTTAAAATTTCTGCCTTGTATTTGGAAATTTTATTTTTATTTGCATGATAACAGAGTTATGTAGTATTTGTTGAACTCCATAGACCAATTTAGAAAGCAAGTCTGTGTCCATTGAAATTACTTTTCTGTTGGCTGAATTTATGTGTTTTTGTCTTATTCCCCACTCTTCTTACCACTCCAAAATATTACTCATGACTTATTTGAATAAACAGTTTGATGGCTCTAAAAATCTTGTGTTTCAAGGTTTCGTCATCCAAACATACTGGAGCTGACTGCGTATTTTACAGAGACTGAGAAGTTTTGCCTGGTTTATCCATATATGAGGAATGGAACACTTTTTGACAGATTACAGTGTGTAGTAAGTCACATCTGCCATTGTCCTCTGGCCCTCTAAGGCCTGGGGATAAGCTGCCACAGCCTTCTGGGGAAGCTGGGAGGCCAGATGAGGGTATCTGAAAGAATCACCACCAATTACCCACACTATTGTGCCACAAATAAAATCTTACTTAATGAACTTTTAAACAGCATCATCTTACTAGCCACATTTTCATGTCATTGTTTTGTGCTTCTGGGGATCAACCCAGGGCCTTGTGCATGCTAAGCAGGGGCTCTACCCTTGAGCTACACCCCCAACCCCATCCACTAGCTATATTCTGATTAAGTTAATAATAAAAATTTTGTGGTATTTCCCTCATCTATAGACAGACCTTTAACAATTATTGGTAATACAGGAAACACATCTGGAATTAAAAATAGGTTGTAATAAGCCAAAATGTTAATTCACCCCTCACCCCGCTTCACCCCTGCTTGTATTGTAGCATGCTTCCATGTCATGAATACATAGATAGCTTGTACTCAGAAAGTGCAATGAAACCAATGATGTTTGTTGTCTTTTAGGGTAACACGGCTGCACTCTCTTGGCAAATTCGAATCAGTATATTAATAGGAGTGTCCAAAGCAGTTGGGTACTTGCACAACACCCAGCCGTGCTCAGTCATCTGTGGCAATATATCAAGGTAATTGACCCCAGAGCTTTAAATCACACCTCCTAGTCCCTTTCATCATCACAGGTGAGTCATCCTTCACACTATTTTCTGACTATAGTTTTCCTGGTATGTATGGGTATTCTTCATATACCTATGGGTATATGCAGAATTCTCATCTAAGTATGAAAAATCAAACATTTGTATAAATGAAAATGTGTCTATCAGAGTTTTTAAAAAGCTGCATTTATATTGGCAAAGAGAGAGGTTATGTTATCTTTGGGAATTCCTAAGGAACAATTCTGTGTACTTTATTAATTATTCCTGATAGCAGGATGTGACATGAACTTGGACTAATCTCCTCCCTCTTTTAAAATGAGGTTTAGGGAAAAAGTAAGGGATTTCTAAGATTACAGTAGAAAACAGCAATTAAAATTCTTGGTCCTTTAATCTGATGTCTTGCTTATCCCACTGAGCCTGCTGTCTCATACCTTCATATATAAATAGGTAGCAGGACAAGTAGCAGCCCTAGTGTTCACTTCTAATATGAGAAAGTCAGAAGCAGAGTCTCCTTTCTTTCTTTATCAGCGGACATAATGCCTCATTTAGATAACATATATACCCTATAGGAAAATCCCCCTGGTGAATTTTTCCTGTGTGCCCTTCATCTTGAACCTATAGAAAAGTCCATGAACAGTCCCTTTGCTAAATATTAGGGGAGACTGAATTGAGAAGGGTGCTGCCTCTTTTGGACCATTTTCTACTATTTTTTTTTGGGGGGGGAAGAGCTGTTAGTATACTTTTGACTTGAACAGAAGAAGAGCTGATTGCTTATTTGTTTTTATGGAAATGAACTCCACATGAAAACTCTTTAGATTTTTACTTAGTCCTAAGGGAGAAGTGGGAACTACCCACAGATGTCTGTTCCTGTTGTAGTGTGGAAATTCATCAGCTGCTGGTGGCTCCCTAGAGTCAGCATAATGTTGATGCACCCTTGCAGAACCTAGACATGGAGGGCCAGTGCAAGTCTCAGGGGTTGATGGAGTCACCCATTGGCATTGGTTCCAGTGGGCCGATGTGGTCATCCCCAACCGAAAATTATCCCCCGTCTATGGATTGCAACCAACACTGGTATAGTAGGTGCTCAAGTATATGTTTTACTGAATGAATAAGTTTCTGGAATTTTGCTCTATATACTCTTTCATTAGTTTAACTTAAAGTAAGCATTAGTTTATTTTAAATCCCACATGGTAATACATTGATTTTATTAAATTTCCTTGGTGTGACTAAGTTCATCAAATCCTTTCCTGAAGCAAGAGTTAGCAGGAGATAGAGGTGAGGAAGGAGAGGACATTGAAGTTCTGGTTCTTGGTGGGAGAGAGAGGGACCAGCAGAGCCACATGCTGGAGCAAAGTGGCCTCAGTGTGGGAGGGAAGCAGATGCAGACTCTGCCTACTTCCCAGTGCCTGTCCCAGGGTGAGGTGGTTTGGGGAGAGTGGTGACAGTGATTGGGAAACCAGTGTCTGAGATTGGGGTCCCTGATGACTTCATGGCTGTGGCATACTTGGTGACTGGGAAAGTTTCTGTGCAATGGCATAGGATGCCCCGTTGCTATGGAGATGTCCTCCATGCTAGAGTCTTATCAGCTTCAGCCTTATTCTCAGGCAGGGCAGCTCCTGGGAATGAGGGAACTTCCTTGTTAAGATAGCCACAATATTTACCAATACCAATACTGCTACTCCTGAATCTGCCCTGGAATTATTAACTTTAAACAATAGACTTTCTTGAGAGCTGCACAATGCTCCTAACATTGCTGCACAATGCTCCTAACACTGCACATTGCAGCTGTAGAATGTAACTGAGGAAATAACTGCATACTGTTGTTAACTCTGTAAATTTCATGAATACAAAGAATAATGCTTGCACAGTCTTTAATCTGATTTAGAGACATATATAATAAAGATTACTGGTGTAATTTTTTAGACCTGCTTCTCCATCAGTGAGCAGTGCTCCGCCTGACCCCAGCTGTTTTATCTTCAAGATCTGCGTGTGTTGACTATTTTTTCTAATCTCCTATTGCCCCTCGTCAAAACCTGCTAGTTTGGCTGTGCTGGTCGCAGCAATGGTTGGGGTGTGCCTGCCCATCCTCTCTCTCCTAGTGTTGGTGAGAACACAATTGTGGACCCTGATCCCCACTTTCTCACTGTTGGTTCATGCTTTCAGGTAGGTCCCCAATAAATAGGCTCAGATGGAGAGTCTCAACAGCAGGATATTTTTAGGGAGACTTCTCAGAAACAACAAATGTAAGAAAGTCAGGAGGACAGCAGAACTTGGCAGGCGGAGAGATGGAGCTGGGATATTGTCTCTGAGGCCTCAGCCAGCATCCCAGGAAGCACTGAAGCTGGGATGGGTCTTCTAAGCTATCCCAAAGTTAGGCAGGATGTGTGGCTCTTTGCACCCCTGTGCCTGACCAGTCCTAGAGTGGGACTGTAACTTGGGTGAGGTGGGTTCCTTCTACCAAGGACAGTTTCTATATTGGGCTCAGCTGCCAACCCTGTCTGCTGGAAAAGAAGAGCCTCCCTGGAACCCAAGGGAGCACTGGGCAGGGATGATAGAGAGGGGAGACCAACACGCAGCCACCACAGTTATGGAGGGAGAGTTGACTGAATAGAGCTCTAAAAAAGGTGACCCAAGGATTTTTCTTTCTCATGCATTTCCCTTCTCATACTTCTTCCATTCATTTCTCATAACTCAGTCTTCTCTAATGTGTACACCAGAGACTTGATTTTAGAAGTAGATCGTCCACTGTAAATGTGATTCTGAGCAACTTGCTGAACTTTCCTTGGACTCAGTTTCTCCCTGTGTAAATGGTAATAATAGAACAGCAGCTGTGTTCCTAAAGTTCAAATAATGTAAGGTATGTTTGATGCTTAGCAAAGAGTTCACACTCATCAGATAGTAAGTCCTGTTATGGTTGGGGCTGAAATGGCAGGCATAACAGTGGCAGAGGCCAAATGATGTGGTAGCTGACCAGTCCTTTTACTTACGAGTCTTGTACTTATCTCCATCATCAATTTATTGGATTTGAAAAATATACCCGCAACCTAAGCTCTATGTTAAGAAAAATCACTCTATCTTAATATGTGCTCGTTAAACATCCTAAGAATCACGTTCATTCAAATCACATGGGATAGGGAGCAGGAGCATGGGAGGAATAGACGAACTCTAGATAGGGCAGAGGGGTTGGGAGGGAAGGGAGGGGGCATGGGGTAATTAATGATGGTGGAATGAGGTGATCATTACCATCCAAAGAACATGTATGAAGACACGACTTGGTGTGAATATACTATGTATACAACCAGAGATATAAAAAATCGTGCTCTATATATGTAATAGGAATTGTAATGCATTCCGCTGTCATATATAAATTTTTTAAAAATTTACATTAAAAAAACATGCGCCATATGTGGATGGTCTGAGAAGGCTTCCTGTAGTTGAAGAGTTTCAAGCTAAGTCTTGGAGGAAGTGGGTCACAGCTGTGGACTGGTTGAAAGAAGGGGAAGAGAATCTTCCTGGTGGAGGCAATGATTTTTTTCAAGGGAACAGAGTAGAGAATTGCCGAGTGTATAATAAAAGCAAGGAAGATGTGTTGGTTGGAGAAGAAAGGGCAGGATTGGCAGATAAGGTAAAGTCAAATTGGAGAAAAATAAGGAATATAGTGGGTAAAGGATTGGATAGGTCCTTGAGTGCTATCTAGGCTGAGGAACTAGGTTTGATAAGCAGGCTCTAAAGAGAGGCTCCAAGGCTTATTGGGATACAGGTGGGAATATGGATGTTCTGGAATGTCTTTGATGCTCTTGCAACTTAAAAGGAGACCAGTTCTTCTAGGCCAGTATCTTGGTACTTGTCTGGTTGTGCAAACTATGAAATACCTTAAATAACATCACTGGGCAGAATGCACAGTCGATAATAAACACATAGAGTAACAGAAGAGATCTGACAAAAAAAAAATAAGCACGATATGATGCAAGATGGAGGACTTGAACTGGAAATGCAATTAGCAACATATACTTTTTCATTTGGAGGGAAGGTTGCTGATGTGTCTTTAGGTGTTATGGTTTGGATCTTGGGTGTTCCCCAAAGGCAAACATGTTGAAGACCTTGTCCCTACCGGTGGCACTCTTGGGAGGTATTGGAATCTTTAGGAGGTGGGGCCTAGTAGAGGGAAGTTAGGTCATGGGGGCCTGCCTTAAAGGGGATATTAGGACCCTGGCCATTTCTTGTTTCTCCCTTTGCATCCCACCTAGCATGAGGTGAGCAGGCCTCCTCTGTCACATGCTCCCACCATGATCTACCATGCCACCAGAGGCCCAAAGCAACGAGGACAAGCAAACACAGGTTAGAGCCTCTGAAACCATAAGCCAAAGTAAAAATTTTCTATTTTAAGTTGTTTACCATCAAGTATTTTGTCACAGTGATGAAAACTAACTGGTATACTGTGTTTTCAAAGAGTTTGAGGATTTTAACATAGTCCATCTATAAACAACATCTACCCAGGCATGTGTCAGAGTGAGGAGTTTCAAGGCTGTGGATGTTCGTTTGAAAGATTTGTGGGTTCACAAGGTTCATCAAGTTCCTTTTCCAGAGCAAATCAGCCTCTTCCACAGCTATTGAACCTGCTTTTCTGCTGAGATGTCATCAAAGATGTCAATTAATGCCATCTCTAATCGTAGATTTCCCCCTCTCATTTGGTGATTTGTAGAATTGTTCTTGGAGAACTGCAATGAGATCGATTCAGTTAACTCAGGCCACTGAGCATCTGTAAGATGGTTAATAACATTCAGACCCCAGCTGTCCTGCCAAATTGAACTGGCCAAGGTTACCCTCCCTTATCTCTTTTAGTGAACCCTTCACTTTTCTTTGAACCTAGACTTCCCTGAGTCTTGGCCTTCATCCTAATGCTTTTAAGAAAGTCTGTGATCCTGGACTCTTCTGCCTTTCTCATATTAATTTTTAAAATCTTTCTTAAGGAA